ATTGGAGGATTAAAAAAAAATCAACTTAATTAGTCTCTCTTTTCATATTATACAAAATACCAATAGAAAGAATAGAAACACACAATTTCCTCCTAAAATTATTTTTTAAAAAAATTAAAAGTTCAAAATACTAAAATAAAAAATAAAAAATAAAATCCGAAAAGGGATATTGTCATTAGAACTCTGAACAGATTTCAAGGTAAAGAGGGAGTTTTTTTTAAACTCTAAGATCGATATTGAAAACTTAAACTCTAATTTTTTTTATTTTTTATTTTTTTTTTGTAAATAACCAATCTCTTGCTTTAGAACTTTAAATAGATTAGTAATTTGAATTCGTAGTAATCTTTAATACGACATGGCGATTTAATTTAATTTTTTTTTCAATTTTTAAGCTTAATTGCTGACCCAGAAAGTCGCACCCCCGCAACAATAACTTTCATGACTGCTATTGATTATTGACATAGACAAAATCTTTAAAAGGCTCGATTAGTGCTTATAAATTACTAGTACTCCCTTCATCCATTGAACAAAATTTGATTTAATTTTACGAATTTGGGAAAACTCCATACATTTACTCTTATCATAATAAACTCATTATTTTTAGAGTACTTAAATTTTATATGAAAGGTATCGTAGGCAAAGTACTTAGGTGCTCGTTTGGTAATCGGGAATAAAGTGATGGGAATGAGAATGCGAGGAATCGGAATGAAAATTAAGGAATCGGAATGCAATTTAAATTTTTTAATATCTGATTTTGTATATAAATATAAATAATGATTAAAAAATAATTTTATTAAACTATAATAGTTATAAAAATAATAAAGGTGATGGTAGTGATTGTGGTGGCTCTAGTAGTGGTGGTGGTAGCGATGGCGGTAATGATTACGACGGTGATGATGGTTGTGATTGTGATAATGATGGTTGTGGTGGTGATGGTGATTGTGATGATGTTAGTAGTGGTGGTGGTGGTGGTGATGGTAGTGGTGGTGGTTGGGATAGTGTCCGTGGTTGTGATGGTGGTCGTAGTGATAGTTGTTGTGATGGTGGCAAAAGTAGTTAATAGATAATAAATAAATAAAATATGTTATTATTTTGAAAAAAATTCATTCCCATTCCTTGTTTTTTATTTCCACATTTTATGTGGGAATGAAGTTATGTGTAAATTTTCATTCCCATTCCCACTTTTCATTCCCATTCCCACTTCATTCCTTTTAACCAAACAACTACAATGTGGGAATAAAACTTCCATTCTCATTCCCATCACTCTATTCCCGATTACCAAACAACACCTTAATTATTTAACTTGACATGTATTTTAATTAGGCCATCCAAAATAATAAGATGGACTCTCTCCGGCTAAAAAGATAATCTTTTCTACAATGTTTTTGGATAAATAAAATTTGGATTAACAATGGCAGAAGTTTTTCTACTCTCTTTTTCGTCTTGATCATTGTGTCCATTTATTATTTTTTAATCTTAAATTAATCTCTTTATGATTGGTTTTTGTTTTAAATTAGTCTATTTGTTAATTGTGTTGGGCTAACGAGTGTTAAATCGTACCGTTAGCTCCACAAGATTGCAACACATTTCAACTTTTTATTTTTTATTTTTTATCTTAATCTTGTTCCTCTCCTCTCTTTTTTTCAGTGAAAAAAACTGAAAAAAAGAAAAAGATGAAAATGAAGATAAAAATATTTTTTTTATCTAAAATATCTTTTATGAGTTTTTTTTATATATATGTTATAATAAATAAATTTTGAGTATTAAAAAAAATATTTATCATATTTTTTCAATATTAAGAGAGTTTTAGTTAAATTTTTTATTTTTTGAATGATATTTATAGTCTTTTAACCACTTTTGAGTGAATATTTCCCCCTCAAAAAAAAAAAAAATTAACAAAATTTATATTTCCATTTGAATAAATTATAACAGACTATTTTGAGGTATTATAAAATTATAATCCCATTTAAAAGTTTAAAAATTTAACCAAAATTATCTTGATATTTTAAAGAAAAAAATAAAAAATACTAATTTTTTTTTTATTTTATACTAAAAAAATTATTTACTGCTATAGAGATAAATTCAAATCCATAAAAAGATATTTTGAATAAAAAATATTTGTATCTTATCCGTTTTATCATTTTTATTAAAAAAAGAATAAAGTGACAGATTAGATGTAAAAACAAGATTGACACGTGTTGACTTGATAGTGCAATTTAATACCAGTGGCTCAAAAAGTTAATGGAATGACGAATTTAAGAGGAAAAAAAGTAAAAATACGTGATCAAGGATAAAGAAAGAGCAGAGATCCTAGCAAACATTAATTGAAAAAAAAAAAATTGCCACTAAAATTTATTGAACAATTATAAGTAATTCTATTGATTAATTTAGTAAGCACGCTCATGATTAATTTGTGCATGAATATATTGTGATATAGGGTTGGGCACATTCTATAAACATGATTATAATTACTATCATAACCATAATATATTAGAATGAATATCATGATTCTAGTGCAAATCCTTGAGTCGTAATTTAATTAATTCCACCATGACCCAAAAACAGATCGAGCCATCTCAATTACAATATTTATTTTTTATGATTATAAAATCATGAAATATTGGAAGAAACTAGTAATTCATATTTTTACAAATTAGATGCTTAAGTTGTTTTGGAAGTTAAAAACAAAATATATGTTCTTCATTGATATCAATATGGCAAGCAAACCAGCGAATAGCAATTATCATAATAAGGGATTAAAGATAACCATATTCTTTATGTTTTATTTTTAAAAAATAATTATGAGTCTACATGGATCTCCCATGCTCATTCTTAAATAATGATGATAGGATAAGATTGATATCTTCAAATTTGTCATAAATATCTGGAGAAAATGAAAATTACTAGATAAAATTACAAAGATGTATAATGATATCAAAATACATCAATACATATATACAGTGCATTGAAAAAATATCTTGAACGTTCTGGAGTAGGAGGGCTATTGTTAGAGTTGACTTGTTCTATACCAACGTGTTAGGAATTTTTATTGTTGTAATAATCCAACATAGATAATTTAGGGAGAGATTCAAAAATAAAAGAATTGATAAGGAAATTAAGATATAAAATTTCATATATTTGTGTTTGGTTTCATGTGTTAGCAATATTTATAGACGGTAAAAAAGAGTATAAGACTAGTATTATTTATTGAGTTACTATGTGATTCTTGAAAATTCCAAATATAGCAATTATGTTGTTCATTGCCAATTGGATTAGAAATAAATAAATAAAAAGTTAATGAGTTTTTACTTGCATTGAATTATAATAGATTCTTGTTTAAAAAATGTTTATTACAAATTATATAAAAAATTTCCAAATGTGGTGCTTTTCTAAGGTAATTTATTAGAATTGATGGCATGAGTTTTGAGTTACTTGAATTCTTCATGTACTACATTTATTATAACCTACTTATAAAATATATATTTTTTAAATAAATAGGAAAGAAAGCATGATAATTTTGCCCATAAAAATTAAATTCTTCAAATCTGTAGAGTCTATTTGACAGATTTTACACATATCGAGGTTTTTTACAATTTAAGTTTTTTTTATTGAGATTCTAAGTTTTTTTTCTGTTTAATTTAAGAGTTCTACTCTTATTTTGTTGTTTCGGACCTAATGTGTCACGTAAACACACGTGACAAATTCTAATAAATGACAATTTGCCACATGTCATGGTAGGCTCAATTTGAGTGATTGAATTGGTGACGTGACAAGCTTTCATTAGTTAAGGTCCGAAACAATAATAATATAACAATAAAACTCTTAAATTTAAAAAAAAAGATCTCATTAAAAAAATTCGAACTCTAGGTATCTTAATAGGTGTAAAACCCTTTGTTTGACCTATGTTTTCTATCTTTTACTACTTTGCTTTTAAAACAAAGCGATTAAAAAAGTTTTAAAAAAAGTGTTTGGTAAATTTTTAAAAACAAGCTGCTTAACTTTTGAAAATAAAAGGTGTTTTATATAAATAGGTTAGAAGTATATTGACTTCCACTTTAAAAAGCAATATTTTTTTGAGATAGAAAATTGTTTGTGTTCTTTAAAAACCAAAAGTAACCTTAAATATTTTAAAATTATAAAAATATTTATAGTGTAGTTTACTCTAAAATAAACTCTCTATTGTTACGTTTCTTAATTAAATTATTTAGTAATTCTATTTACTTAAAAAAAAAGTTATCTGATGCCTTGATTCTTCTTTCTTTCGTTCTCTTTTCCCAACACACACAAGTATTATGTTTCTTAATTAAACCATTTAGTTGTTCTATTTACTTTTTTTAAAAAACCAAGTAATGTTTTTTTTTTTTTTTTGGCTAATGTTGTTCATGATATTTCGGTTTCAAAAGAAAGAATTAATTTTTTAAATAATTCAGTTTATTTTCTTAAAAAAATGTTTAAATTAAGTTATGTCCTTATGGTAATTTTAATTCAAAATAGTACAACAATAGATTAGCAAACAATTAAGTGGTTTTACTCACAACACAACGCTATAATTCATTACCTAATAGTTTGAGAGTATGCAAAATGCCAGTAAAATGAATAGAAACACGCAATTCCCTAAAAAAAAAAAAAAAAATTTCAAAAACGGTCCTCTCATTAGTTTTGCTATCCATTTAAAGGTAAAGAGGGAATTTTTTGAAACTCTAAGATTGATATTGAAAACATTTTAACTATAGATACCGAAGTGCAATACTGCAAAATCTTCAAAGTGTTAGAATATAGTTCACCAATAAAATTTTCTGCCATTCACGATAACCTCGAATGACTTGTCATCTGGCTAACCAAATGTGATCTAGCGCTTTTTGAATGACAAATCGTTTAACTGCAAAATTTGGAAATCGTCTGACACCTCGTTTTCTACGCCGACATGTCGTCTACAACTATTCCAATAATACTTTCGCTTTGCTTTTGCTGCTGCTGACACCCCAAGCAAACTCTAAACAATGGCTTCTCTGAATTTAGCTTCAATATTTAGCTATAGTTGCCGGAGTTTTTGTGCACCAGTGACCTTATTGCGCTCGTTAGCATCCACCAGGTCTTGTTCTCTCAACAAGAAGGCTTTGGTTTGGTGTTCTTTGAGCAAGAGGACGTTTAGCTCTGAGTCCTTGAAACAAGATGTTGCTGCCACAAATGCAACTTCTTCTCTGGATGGGTATGCTTTGAATTTTTTCTTTTAATGGGTTTATCATATTTTGGCTTGGTTTGGTTAAAGATTCAGTTTTTAATGTATTTGTTTGAAGTAAGAGGTAAATTGTTGATGTTATGGCTTGTTCTTGGTGTGGATGATGAGGAGTTGAGGTTATCAAATGTTTGAGGGGGTGTATTGTGTTTGAGAATTGTAATGTCTTCGAAAAGTTTTAGCTTTCGGTTTAGTTGCCATAAGTGGTGTAATTGGAGGTACTGAATGATTTTGAGAGCTAAATATGGCTTCTGCTCCTTATGGCTTTTGGGGAAGTTGAGGATAGCGAGCATTTGTAATTTTTGAAGATATTATGATGTTTGAGAGTTGCAATGTCTTTGAAAAGTTTCAGATTTTGTTGTAGTTTCAATCAGTTGTTGAGGTGGGGTGGCCTTTTTTTTTAAAGGGCTTGCGAGTATTAGCTTTATTTATTTATTTTTTTAAGCGTACTAGTAAGAGTCCTCAATGAATTTCCTGTTTACTTTGAAGAAGTTATCTTGTTATACTTCTGAAAGTTGATGCTAGTTCCAGAACAAGCCACTAGGATTTTAGGGATACAAGAGAAGTTGTTCCTACCTGTAGAAATATGGGATCATAGCCAGATTTAATGGAAGGTAAGAAGCAAGGTTTTCACACATCTACCATCTTATTAACCTTCAATTAGAACACTGCATAGCTTTTTGGGGCCGTTGTATAATTCAGTTTGCTATTCTTTTTGGTATTGTCATCTACCTTCAATGTGAAATTATATGTTGTTGCAATTTATATTTGATTGTTGCCTAATCTTGTGAATTTTGATTGCTGAGACTTTATTTTGTTTTAGTTACCCGGAATATACTCGCTTGCTTCCGTGCCCCTCTCACAATAGCCCACCAAGAATTGAACACTTGGTTGTTTCAGAAGAAGGTCCTGTTCTAGACTATATCTGTAAAGCCCTGGACCTTCCTCCTCTGTAAGTGCCGTTTGCTCTTGTCTTCTAAACGTTTTTCTTGATGTTACCAACATACATTTTTTTTTTTTTGCACAACATGAACATCATTATTAATCAGGATGGAGTGATACATAGCAAATTAAATTCTCTGAAGGTTTGTTGCAGATCTTATCCATTTTGGAGCTGTACATTATGCCCTTGTATGCCCACAGCCACCTCCAACAGCAACTCCCGAGCAGATTAGGGTATTTGAAGAAGTTACAGCACCATCAGTTCTGAAGAAGAGGGCTTCCATCAGAGGGAAGACCGTACGAGAAGCGCAGAAAACTTTCCGGATAACCCATGTCGATCAGATTCTTGAAGCTGGAATGTACTTGCGTGTTCATGTTCACCCAAAACGCTTCCCTAGGTAAACACAGTATTAACTGACGTTTTCTGCCATTTTCCATTAGCATGATACTCATTTTCAATTTGTCTTCAGGTGCTATGATATTGACTGGAAATCAAGAATTGTAGCCTTGACTGAAGCTTTTGTTGTTTTGGACAAACCTGCTGGTACATCGGTATGCCATTGATCCATTAGTTTATCAATTTTGTTGATTTGGCTTGAGCAACAGTCTGATTCTGGTGAATGTTTATTTTCATAATTTTGGATCTGATACAAAATATTAACTATAACATTAACAGGATATTCTCAAAAGAAAATAAAACAACAGCTTCTGCCTTTGTTCTAAATAAACTAAGACTTGTAAACTCTAGATGAGCTCTTTCTGTTCATCTTGCATGAATTTGGACCCACACTCAATTTTACTCTATAAATAAAAATCCCGTCACTTTGTATTTTCACCATTTACATTATTTAACTGATTGCTTATATAATTTTTAAACATGAACTTTAGGTAGGAGGAACTACAGACAACATAGAAGAAAGTTGTGCCACCTTTGCTACTCGTGCATTGGGATTGACGGCCCCATTAAGGACTACCCATCAGATTGATAACTGCACAGAAGGCTGGTATGCACTCTGGTAGAGTTCTGTTGTTGTTCTTATAGTTATCATCCATTTGTAACTGACTTATAGAGTAAATAATGGTGTGTGTTTCATGTTTAGTGTTGTGTTAGCTAGGAATAAGGAGTACTGCTCAGTTTTCCATAAAAAAATCAGAGTAAGTTTCTGATACTATACCTTATCATACAAATATTTGATTGGTTAGTCTGACTGCTGGGGAGGCCGCCCTTCAGAAGTGTAAGACCTTTGGCGTATTCTCACCAAGGTTACCACTTCTAGAAGTAGATGAACTCCCTGAAACTGGTTAATTTGATTATTTGTTTATGTAGTTTTAAGTGCATCTCAAGGCCCTTAACTCTGGAACCATATCTTTTTCGTTGTCGTCAGGAGAAAGTGGTGAAGAAGCTTTATATTGCACTTGCTGCATCTCCTGTGCCCATTGGTGTAATTAACCACTATATGCGTCCTATTAATATTGCTCCGAGACTTGTTTCTGAAGGTAATCATCTCCATCACGCATTGCATTGATCCAGTTGTGACTCAGGAAGTTTGTTCCTGCATATTATCTGGGCATGATTGGCACTTAACTTACTAAGTACTTGCCATCAAGCGTCTTAAAGGCTATACTTCATCCAGAAAGGGCCTCTCCTCTACCCTTTATTACCTTCCAGTTTGTATTCAAATGCTGTTGCCAACCGATACCATGAGATCTATACCAGGAAATTAGATCTATAGTAAGAGTTGCAATCTTATTATAAAGGCTTTTTGAATTGTCGCACTGGATGGGACACAACTTCCTGAGTGAACATTTTCAGCCAATTCTTTTTGAAATGTTATTGGTTTGTCATCATTTGTATTTATTGTATTGAAGGTGGCAGAACACTGTTTAATCAATAGTCTTTCTGCCGATTGGTTGTGGTATAAATTTGAAATAAAAGCTTGTATGGCATGCAGAATTTGTAAAAGGTTGGCATTTATGTCAACTTGAGGTCATGGAATGCAAGAGAGTTCCCTGGCCAGATGCTATTACAGAAGAGAAATATTGTGTTGAAGACTGTGGGTGGCCCTCAAAAGATTATGCGTATGAGTGTAAAATCAACCTTTTGACTGGCCGTACGCATCAGGTAATTCAGCTTCCCTTTTCTTTCTTTGCATAGTATCCTGCAAGCTGCAATTGCTGAATCTTATGGTTTTAAGTCAATTCTCTCTCCTTTATTTATTTAAAGCCAAGTCATAATTCTCTTGTATGTGGTTAGCGTTTGCTGCATATCCTTGTTGTACTATGGGTCTTTCAATCATCAATTGGCAGATGAAAAAAAATTATCTTTGATTTGAAGGGCATAATTTACAATTCCTAGGATTAAGGCATCAACAGCATTTTAGGTATTGTAGATTTTATACAGACTACAGTAGATAAATTATTTCTTTCGTAAGGGTTCAAAATTTCCAAGTTGATTGATATTTTTCTTGAGCTTTGACTAAATGATCTGGGCAAGATTTGCTAATGAGAAAAATTTCTTATGGATCTGCATTTCTCAAACCATGATCTAAGATTCGATCAGCAATGAGTCAGCGATTAGCATTGATATTTAGCTTTCATATTACTTGGTTTATTGATGGAATATTTAGTGGGATATAGTGGTTACTTTGGCTATAACAGTTTAATCATATGGTGCAGATACGAGCTCAATTGGCTGCCCTTGGTGCACCTCTGGTGGGTGACTCAATGTACATGCCAGCTGCAGTTGCAGAATTGGTTAGTCCTGGTCTCAATCCATTTGGAAAATACAAAAAGCAATACACTAGTGAGGATGATATGGCAATAGCTGTTGAACAGTGGGTCGCACGTCATGGAAAGGAACCAAATGTTGCAGTTGGTCTTCAGGCATGCCAAATTTCATGGGATGATGGCAAGCACACTTACAATGCGGGATCTCCCTGGTGGAGATGCAGAATGGCTTAAAGTAGGTAGTGGATGATCAGGATCAATTACCAAGTGGATTATTTTTCTTGAAGTTTGAGGTCCATCTAGCATTTCACTCTGATAAAAAAGGTTCTTACATACTGTTGCAGCTGGAACTCATCTAATGGATTCTCTTTCCTTTTGGCTGTTTGCTAATAGTAAAACCAATATACTGTGCAGGTATCCTATTGTCAGAAGTTGGGACTCCATTGAAGGACCATAAATTGTGGGCGTTGTAACATGGTGTAAAGTAAAGGCATACGAAATTCTGAAGGGAAGATAGAACGTGGCTAGTGTTATATGGTTAGATATCCTTAGCGAACCCTTGTAACCTTTTATATCTAATTCCTTTTGTGGCAGTATGCATAGATTGTTACTAGGAGCTATTTTTTTTTTGATATGATATAGTACGGCCAACTTTCTAATCAATAATTCTTCTTGGTTTGATATATTTCATTGTTATCCATTCTTGCAAATTTTATATTATTCCATTAGCTTAATGCAAAACAAAACTGCATTAGGATTGTTTTGGTCATTTAAACTTGACATCCTCACTTGTTTACATGATAGCAATATTGATGACGTACAAAGCATCTGATAAAATGGTTTCATTCACACTTGATCGATGAAAATTATGTCAAACAACAAGCAAGCATGGTTTCAATTTTTGATTTGTAACATGAATTCAATTACAGGTCTTTGCTCTTGATGTCAAAATCTGAGTAGATAAAATGATTCAAGAATGTCATGCATCCTAGAGCGTTTTTTCTTTAGCCATTTAGTCACATTGCTATCCCCTTCTTCGAACTTCACCTTAACCTGTTAAATTCCAGACTTGAAACTTCTGCTTCTCATCACCCACCCCCTTTCCAGGCAAAATATCTCCTCACATCTGCTCCTTTCCTGATTGCATGGAAAAGAAAAGGTAAAAGTTGGGGAGAACAGAAACTTTCGGCAAGATCATTTGCTGGTACTTGTGTGTTTGTGGAACTCTAAAATTGTAGATCATCCGAACCAATTTTAGCAGAAAAATTAAAATAAGATTCTGAAAAATTGTCACAGAAATAACCATGAGTCAGATCACATAATTCTTTGTACAAAGTACTTCTAACATGAAGTTACCTCATTGCAGTTGACAAGGCATCCAAATAGCGAGACATGTGATCCATTGAGAGCCGTAGTTGTATCCATCCCTGTAAGAATTTTAAAAGGATGGTGGGGTTTAAAATATTCAATAAAAAAGATATGCATATCTTCCATAAATCGCTTAACGAATGCAACAACATCTCCCTTGGTTTTCTACTTTATTATAGACCAAGCTCATCTTTGTGATGATTAGTTTCCAGCCCAGACACAGCTTCAAAAGGGTGGAGGTGGTTCAAAATTCCATCAAAAAGATATGCATATCTTCCATAAATTGCTAAACTAGGTTTCTAATGGAACACGTGATATCTGAATCTCAGCAAAATCGTCCTAGCTAGCATCTCCCTTAATTTGTGAACCAAGACCATCTATGTGATTCTGAGTAAAAAAATTTGAACTTGAGATTTATTGAATAATGTTAACAGCAAGATACGATTTAATGCACTCCCTTGGCGTCAACAGCTATAGGTACTGGAAAATTATCCATGGCAGGATAGCAAGCTCATTTCTTAGGTTGATGTCCCTGAACTGGAGGAAATGCAGAATGGCTTGTCTGAGGTACTGGAAAATTGAGATCATTTACCAAGATGATCATTGTTCTTTAGCTGAAGTTAAGGTCTATATGCTTCTATTGCCTTTTATAACGTTCTGTTGACAACTCTTAAAAAAGAAAGAAAAAGTTGTCTTACTGTCCCTGCTGCTAATACCACTCATCTAAGAGATGATTCTTCTGTCAATTGATATTGATAGGCCAACCTTTTATGCCATCATTCTTTTTGGCTCAATGCATCATCTATGCTCATCTATAGTTCATCTAGGGTTGCTTTCAACATAGGAAAAACAGAGGAATAATCTGATGAATTAATTCAGCAACTCAATTTATCTAGCATACGAATTGTGTCAGATAAGGAGCAGAACTCTTTCTGTGCTTATTCTGTAAACCTAGCGCAACGAAAAGATATAGCCATTGATCTCAAGACAAAGTACCTGCATGATTTAAGCATGCATTTCATATTGTTATACACTGGTTTTTCTTTGCCCATGGGGCTACATAGATGCATTGCATATTGTTATACACTGGTTTTTCTTTGCCCATGGAGCTACATAGAGGGGTACCTCGAGAAGAAAGTACCATACTTGTTTGGTTTCTGGGAAATAATCATTGTTGTTACTTCTCACATCTGGGATTTGTCAACTTTATACCTTGCTATATATTCTTTGAACCAAGTTGCTGATAATTTTGGAGTTCTCTTCAGTGTGGAGAAATCAACATGGTAGAGTCCATATCTCAATGTATAACCATATGCCCACTCAAAATTATCAAGCAGGGACCAGGCAAAATAGCCCCTTACATCTGCTTCTTTCCTGATCACATGGAAAAGAGAAGGTGCAGGTGAAAAGGAAAAAGAAAAAAACAGTGAATTAGCTTGCTGGAAAATAACTGTAGGGAGAAAAATAAAGGGCAACTGTTATACGAACTTACTGCATTGCTGAGACCAAGGCATCCAAATAGCCAGACATGTACTCTACCCTTTCTATATCATTGAGAAAATCTTCGATTGTGCGGTTTGGATTGTTAGCTTGGCCAATCCCTACAGGAGAGTCATTGCAGTTTTGTGAGAAAGACATTAAAAAGTGATCTGCGTAAAGGACTTCTAGTTTCTATACCAACCGTTCTCTGCAATGATCATAGGTATGTTATCGTATCTCTTCTTTACATAGGTAACCATGTTCTCCATTCCTTGTGGATAAACATGTATCCAATCCACTTCACTCTACATTGATCAAATCCTTAAGCAACTTCCTGTGAAGAAAAGTTAAGTTATGATCATGATATCTTGAGAGGGTACACATACAGATTTTCCAATGGGAACTCCATCTTTTTCTGGACTTTTTCGGACGAAACCTTCGGTCCTGGAGTTTCCTGGTCCGGGTTTACAAACTGAAAACATGCAGTCTTGGATGTAGAAACTTGTATAATGATTGATGCCAATGAAATCTAGCCCCTTCTTCAGTTTCTCTTGGTCATTCATTGAAAATGTTGGTAAAGCAGATCCCAGAATATTTTTCATTTCTGCAGGATATTTTCCAAAGACGATTGGGTCCAAGAACCTGCAGTATACTTCAGATTCAACAGTTGTCATATGCCACATGTACTTAGATGCATGCAAACATGTGCTGAATCATCTAAAAATGTTTCTGATATGGGAAGGCAAAGAAGTTAACCAGTTGACAAAGAAGTCTTGACCTCTTTCAGCGGCTAACTTGTCTGCTGTGGAATTGCTAATCGGTTCAAACCAAACGGATTGTAAGACAATCCCAATGTTGCCTCCTTGCTCTTTCTGAAAATTTAACAGGGAGTAACTGGTAAGTTAATCTGACCTGACTGTGCTCTCCTCATTCCTTTTTATCCTTCCATTGCATCACAAATGATATCTAAGAAATTGTTTTCATAGTCAAAACCTGGTATTTAGTTCTGTAAATATCTACTGCAGTTGCATGTGCTAAGATCATATTATGTGCCGCAATAAAGGGCTCCTTCTCTGAATCCCCATGAGTGCAGTTTCCAAAAGGACTGGAGCAGCGACATGGTGGGTTTTGACCTGTGAGGTAGGTCAATGTGGCTTGTGCATTTGGCTCACTAAATGTGGTCCAGTACTTCACCCGATTTCCGAAGTACCTGAAACAGATGTCTGCATAATATCCGAAATCCTCCCTGATTAAGAAAAGGAAAACAGTAATCAGTTAATAGGTTAAGCATTTATTGAGGTAATGGCTATCTAGTTCATAGAACTGGAGACTCCATAGACTTGTAGAATAGTAAGTAACATACTGGCATTTAGGACTTAGCCATCCTCCATATTTCTCCTCCAGTTCTTGAGGCATGTCATAATGAGTTAAAGTCACAAATGGTTGGATTCCTGAAACAGTTTGAGAAAAGCAAATCATACATAAAATTTGAAAATGATGAAGATATTTGCCAGTTTATGGCAGCATTTTAGCAGTTCATAATTGGTTGCATAAACAATAAGATCACAAGAAGAAAGTAAACCTTTAAGCAGGAGAGAACTGATGAGCTTGTTATAGTAGCCAATACCAGCCATATTGACATCTCCAAATCTCCCTTCTATGTCCAAATTGAATGAAGTCTGACATAAGCTTTATGTTTTGCTCATGTAAGTTCCAACTAAAAATTAATATTCTGAGTTCAAAAATTTCTTACTGGGTAGAATTCGTGCCCAAGAAATGAGAACCTATAGCTGTTGACTCCGAGGGATTCCATTAAATGAATGTCTTCCTGTTGACATCATTTATAAATTTTTTAGCGAAAGTTTTGTATTCAGAATCAGAATAAGGACAAAGTCATATTCTTCAAGAAGGAAATACAGTGGCGGATTCTTTGGCAAGGAATAGCCTCTATAGAAATAATGATAAAGGAGATATTTTTATACCAGAAAGAGATGATATTGGTCCACAGAAATATCTCCATTGCTTCCATCAATTATTTTCCCTTCAATAGCAAACAGGAAGATTAAAGTTAGACTATTCTAAATCCTGTTAATGGAAGTCTGGCAGTCTTTTGGTCCTCACCTGGTCTGTGGCTATGCAAATCCCAGTTGCTCAAACCTTTACCATCACTAAGATAAGCACCTTCATACTACCATAGTGAAAGAACAAAAACATTTCTCATTTATGCTTAGCATGGCTGGGTACGTACTGATCATAGTCAAAATGCATTTGAAGTTTGGAATCAAATGGAAGTGAAGGAGAGTAGCAGAAGTGACAAACCTGATAAGAAGAGGAGGCTGTGCCAAAGAGAAAGTTCAAAGGCAACGAAGAAGGATCTAAACTGTGTT